CAGTCGATTTCACGACCGGGCGAAAACCTTTTACACAACGGTGGTTTCCCGTCGTCTATTTCGATTTTTGTAGTAGTGAGAGTAAATAATAGTGGGGTCTATGACTAAAAAATATTAAAATAATATTTGACATCAAGTTTTTAGATATATTATTTTTGACATATCCCTTCCAGCCTTTGACTACTCGGATGGAGTAACTTTAACAGTTAATTTTTTCCATTTCATGTTTAAGTGGCAATTTGATATCTCCTTTAGGCCTTGTTTGGTAGGCCTCATTGGACTGGACTAGCTTAAATAACACCCAACAACCCATGTTTGGTGAAGAACTTCTTTAAATTAAATAATACTAGAGAGTCCGTGCCCACTAAAAACGCCTCATTCACTTGCGCAAAATAGAGAGGTGCATGAAGGTGCCACTAAATAACAAAGTCGTTGTTTTTGACGAGCGAGTATGTCATTATCCAACTTAGACGCTCTCGCTCTTTCTCTTCGATGTTGCTCTACTCTCCTCATCCATTGTGCTTTGCTTTCCTCTTGTGCTATGCGCTCTCACTGACTCAGGTTAGTTGTTCAACTCTCGTCCTTTCTTTCCACTCTTCTTTCTCTCTCTATCTCTCTCTCTCTAGTGATATTTGATAGGTTCAATATGCTATTTCTTGGTTTGATTTTTAAGTTTTGATTATGGGTTTGTTTGTAGTTAGCTTAATCTAATGAGAGTTATGCTTTTTATTGGTTAATTTTGGTTGGATTATAATTGGGTATTTTTCTAGGGTTTTTGAATTGTTTTGATTATGGGGTTTTTGTTTGGAATGAGAAGATATGAACAAATTGATGGATGGAATGATAAACGTTTTAATTAAGGTTGAATTGATAGCTGGAAGTAGAACACAAAGCTACACAGTTCTAAGTAGGGCCTCTTGCTTGCTACCTAGCTGTGAAAGGAATATATTGAGAGAAATAACATATGCACAAACTTAATAGAACAGATTTATCAAATGGCTTAACCTGATATATGTAGCTGATTTTTCATACTATATTCTTTTTTTGGGTAATTATATAATGTGCTTTTTAAATTAGGACATATAAGATAATTAATTAAAGGTAGATGCATGTGGAGATCGTTCTTCTTAGGTGTAGAAACAGACCCCACAGTGAGCCTTGAATGCCATTGTTGGCTTGGCTTTCAATCAGCTTTACTTTGTATAATATATTGTTGTTGATTTTAAGGGCTTAGGTCCAAACTCCAAACTGTTCTACGAGAATGGTTTATCTATTTTGATTTCATTTTAAGTCTTGAATGTTCATATACATGTCTCAACTCATGAGTTTTTTTTCTTGTCATGGATCACATCCCTTTCAATTTTTTATGATTTATTAGATAATGATCGAAGAAAGCTTTTGTTGATATTACTATTGGAGATGTGGAATTTAGAGACAATGTGTGTATGTCCTTGTGCTTATAATGTTCAAAATGAGGAGGAATCAACGACTTATAGAAAGATGTGACCTTACTAATCGTTTCTTTGTTAGAGGTGAGACTCGGTTGCGTTATCTAAACAGTACATTAGAGAATTATGTAGTGTGTGTGAGCAAACTAAAAATGGATTTAAGGACGCTTGATATATTATGTGAGTTGCTTCACGCTATTGGAAGGGTAAAAAATGATGGTTTGGTTACTTTGGAGGAGCAAGTGTGTATATTCTTACATGTACTTGCACATCATGTTAAGAATCTTACTATTAGAAGTAGATTTATTCAATCGGGTGATACCACAAGTAAGTACTTCAACTCTGTGTTGCAAGGAATTTTAAGATTGCAAGGTAGGCTGTTGAGAGTGTTGGAATCTGTGGGTGAGAACTGCACCGAATATAGATGGAAATGTTTTAAGGTATCTTTATTAATATGTATTGGAAATTTGGAGAAATTGCTCTATCTTGTTTTGAAATCTTTAGAACTTAATTAAAGGTAACATTTGTTTTTAATAGAATTGCTTGGGAGCGCTAGATGGAACTTACATTAAAGTTCTTGTGCATGAAACTGACAGACCATGATATCAAACTATGAAGGGTGAAATTGCAACAAATGTGTTGGTTGTTTCCTCACATGACATGCGATTTATATTTGTATTGCTGAGTTGGGAGGGATCTGCATCTGACTCTCGAGTCCTTCGTGATGCCATAACTAGGCCGAATGAGTTAAAAGTTCCTACAGGTAAGGCCATTAGTCATTGTTCATTTTATATGCATTTTTGAATTAAATTTATATACCAACACTAATAGGAATTGTCAATTTTTGGTTATTAGCTTATTATTACCTTGTGTGGTTACACAAATGGTGAGAGATTTCTTGCACCGTGTAAAGGAACAAGGTATCATATATTCGAATGGAGAGATGAATATACAACTGCAAATCATCAAGAATATTTCAATATGAGGCATTCAAAAGAAAGAAATATAATAGAACGGTGTTTTGGGTTGTTGAAAGCTAGGTGGGGAATAATAAGGAGTCCGTCTTTTTACCCTATAATGATGCAATGTTGGAAAATTACAACTTGTTGTCTTTTGCATAATCTCATTAGGAGGGAAATGTCCATGGATCCAATGGAGTCTGAAGTGAATGAAATTAGTAAGGCTGAAAATATGGTAGAAGGTGATACAATTGGCACTGTCGAAGCATCCAATCAATGGACTACATGGAGGGATGACTTGTCCTTGCAACTCTATAATGAGTGAAGGGCAACTAGGAATAACTAGCTAATTTGTGGTTTCTGTTCAATTTGTATTTGAGACACCAGCACTTTGCAATTTGAATATTGATTATGAGTATTATATTGAACTTTAAGCAAGGGAGGAAACAAACTAGGCGGTCATGGTCTAAATTTGAGGAAGATCAATTGCTGACAGTGCTTGAAGATTTTGTGGCTGGAGGCCATCGTTGTGAGACTGGTAATTTCAAATATGTACTTTGCTTCAAATAGAGAAGGTTTGGAATAATCTATGTCTTGGTGCTAAGCTAAAGGAAAATCCACACATTGAATCAAAGTTGAAGAGGTGGAAAAAAAAATATAGTATAATTTATGACATCATAAACACAAGTGCATTTGCAGGGAATGATGTGAAAAAATGCATTGAAAGGGACAGTAATGAAGCTTGGGAGATTTATGTGCAGGTACTACTCTCTTATATTTCATTACAAAGAAATATTATTATTATTATTATTATTTTTTGTTACATGGCTAAACATAAACTAAGTGGTGCCTTATTTTATTTAGCACCACAAAAATGCAGCTGAATGGAGGAACAAATCATTCCCATTATTTGATAGACTTGCTAATATTTTTGGAAAGGACATGCTAATGGAAAAGGAGTTGAAGTCCCAAGTGAGATGATGGAAGAACAAAGGAAATAATGAAGTTGATGCTAGTGATGACAATGATACATCTCCCATGTCAATAAACAAGGAGGGTAGGCAATTTGTGGCTAGTCAAAACAACGGGAAAATAGGCTCAAGTGATGAAGATAGAATTGTGACTACATTGGAATATTTGTTTGAAATATCTGGAAAAAATATGCAAATGGTAACTGATGCTTTCTTAAAAGGTAATGAAGATTGTTCAGATATTGCCAAAAAAGTCAAGGAAATGGGGTTTTTTTTGCTATGAATCAAATTACAGCATTAAAAATCATTTTGGATAAACCAACAAAATATATATGTTCAAGTCACTTGATGCTGATATCAAAATAGTTTTTGTTGAGCAATTGCTCAATGAAAATGCTTGAAGGAGGCCACATCCCATATATTGGAAACACCACAAGTGCATTTCCCACCTTAGAAACACTACAAGTGCTGCTATTGCTTTTGTTTTTGTTGCTTTATTGGTCTCATTTTGAAATTATGAATGTTTTATTATATATGTTAATTAGTGAGTTTTTAGATGATTATTAGTGTTGTTAGTTTGTGAGCTTATGGAAAGTAATATGTGAACTTAAATTTGTAATTTGAAGTCATGAGGATGACTCTTGCATATATGTAAAATATCTAACTTTTGCATCTATAAGTATTATAGTATTTCACTTTGTTGTGTCTATTTACAATGACATATATTTTGTTCGTGGTAGGTTTAGATGATGAATTCTTTCATTAACTCACTCCATTAATAGCATAGTTTGATCAAATGCAATTGTATAATCATCATCTTAGGGCCTGTTTGACATTGCTGTGCTGTGAAAATAATCTCTATCAGATTTGCTATGAGAGAAATCAGTTGCGAGAGAAAGCAATTTGGCGTTTGGTAAAATTTTTGTTAAAAGTGTTGTTGGTATTGATTTTACACATAATCAGAAAATGATTGCCGCATAATTATTAAACCCAGTGCCTCTTCGAAACTGATTTCTGCATAATCAGAAAATGAAAGCACCTCATTTGCTGCTTTCCCTTATAGCTTTCTCTCACAACAATTTTTAACAATAAGTGATTTTCTCACAATTTATCAAACAAGTTGTGCTTCTCAAAATTTTTAAAAAATCACTTATCACCCCAAATAAGCAATGCCAAACTGGCACTTAATCTTGGACGATTGATAAATTTAGTATTATGCATAATAATATGGCACCAATAAATACTCATCATCTTAATGTTATGTATATTTATTAAATAAGATTTAAAAATATAATATTTATTACTTTAAAAATTTTAATTTTAATTTTTTAATCTAATGGAGTACTAAACATGGGTCATCACTATTTTGATAGTCCAACTTCTTAATCCGACGCAGCACCAACTATAGGACATCCCCTAGGGAATGACAATCCCAAGAACTAGTGAAATCCTTAAATTAGGAAATTTGATACCTCAATTTTCATGATTTTTTTTTTTTTTGCATATCATTTAATAAATTATGCGCTTAAGTTGTTAAATAAGAAAATTGTCAATTTCTCATTTTAAATTCCCGACTTTTAGTTAAATTCCATGTTATTTTTTCTTTATCCAAACGGACCAACCAAAATTACAACTTGGCCCTTCAGTTTAAGCGCCAACCTTCTACGTGGAACTCTGGGGTCCGTGCCTTTCTGCCTTCCTCCTTCACCACAAGCACAGTCGCAGTTGAAAATTGTTCGCATTTGTCAGCTCTTTTCTTTTTCTTCATCCCCAGAGTAAGAGCAGACCTATAGTGAAGGCGGTGGCAATGGCGAATTCATTGGTGATTGGTTTAAGAATTCTGTTTGCGGCTTTAGGCTGTGTGATGGTATTCACTCTCGCTTACACTCTCTTCACCGATGGTCTTCCTTTTCGCAAGGACCTTCTTACTCCGTACTCTCTCTCTCTCTCTAAATATTTTTTGTGCCAACATTATTGTTTAAAGCTTCAATCTTTTCTTGTTCCTTCATCGTCTTTCTCGTTTTCGACTGCTATGGACGTTTTGTTTTCTTTTAATCTTGTGAAATTTTGGAATTTGTTTCAGGTGGATGGCTGCAACCTTGGTTGATTTCTATATCAATGTTGTACCTTTAGCGGTATGAGCACAAACAAGTTTTTATGCTAATTTCTCACTTTCATTGAGAATTCTTCAAGTTTCATCTTTGTAATTGCTTTGATAATTTTACTTGAGAATAAGATTTCAATGTTCTTTCTTTTCAATAAATATCATACAATAGCTTTGTTCAAAATCCATAAAATCCATAAAATCAATTATTGATTTTCTATATGCAATAAAATCGTGTATTTTTTGCCTGTACTTTGGATGTTAAACATGACTGAGGCACTTAGTAGCTTGAAACTTGAAATCAGCTTTTGTTGTAATCCTATGCATTTCAAAGAGTTGATGTGGCTAGAATACACATTGCTTATCAACCAAGTATAGGATCCTAAGCTTTCCTTACAGATTTATTTCTTTCGTGAGGAGTATGTCCTCACTGGTCTATACGAAAATTTCACGAAGGATGCTCGGGTGTTTGGGTTTGGACTTTTTGTTAAACTCCGCCCTCTTTGGTTACTCTTTTCAAGTCCAAGTGTTTTCATGTCGCATCAGGAATGACTCCAAGCGTCTGTGTCTTTCTTTTACCTTACTTAGCCGTACTCTCTTCCCCTTATTTCTCAGGATTATGACCTTACAATGTTGTATTGTAATTTCATTTTGAGATGTTCAAACAGACGATTTGAATACGAAGATACTCCTATTACTGGCTGTTTAGGTGCTTTAGTGCACATAAAATGATTTTATAAGTCCTTTCACTCTTGGTTTACTTGTTATTTCATGTTGTATAGAGTTGATTGCACTGCAAACTGTTAGGTCTTATTAAATTAAATTTCACATGGGATTATATAAAATTCGTTTATCATATCAGGTTTGGATTTCCTACAAGGAGTCAAACTGGATTAGTGCAACACTATGGGTAGTTCTGCTAGCATGTTTAGGAAGGTTTGCTTTCTAGCCTCTTATAAATACCTATGTTCTTCATTCAGTGTGTGATTTGGGAGTTGAGAATCTATATATTTGAGGGAGTTAAATGATATGAAGGCTGTGTTTGCTTTATTCCTCTTGAAATTATGTTGAGACTTCAACAGGATTGTTTAAGTTTCTACTTTGCACATCATTTTTTTTTTCCTGAAATTTTGAATAAAAATTTCCTCCATAGATGAGTCTTTAGCAATGCTAAAGTTATCTACTTCTATTTTTTTGTTCTTTGCGTACATTATATATATATATATATATATATATATTTCTATTTTTCTGGTACTAATCGTCTTTACATATTTGGTGCTTTTATTTATTTATCATTTCATGCAAATGATTAGTGTTCTAATTTGAGTGTGAAAGTTTGGTCTGAGCTTATAATATTCTTTTGACCCCTTGTGTTTGGTACTGCATTGGATGTGGCTGTTAATATTTGTATGCTCTCTCCTGGGACACATTTTGTGCTAGAGAAACTTGTTCAGTATACCTTTTAGTAGTTTGTTAATAATTGGTTTCTCTTTTTTGGTTTCTGTTTGTAGTATCACTACATGTGCCTACATTCTTCTACAATTCATGAAGCTATCGACTCAAGAATCGCAAGATCCCATGTACTATGTTCTGTTGCGACATTCAAACAAGTAGGTAAACTGAACTTCACCCATGCTCTCATGTTGGAATCAAATTCTTGTATGGAATCTATGATTATGGAAGATGTGCAGAAAGAATCATGTCAATTAATCACATATTTTATGTAAATCCCATCTGGCTTTATTAGGTGGAAAAACATTGTTCAGGCTAGGTTGTAGGGTTTTTAATTTCTTTAATTCTGATATTTTTATTAATTATTTTTCCTAGAGGATTTGGATGTTTCAAGGTCCTGGGTTGTTATTTCTAGCACGGTCCAGTGTGCTCTATCAAGATTCAATTAGTATATTCTATTAAATTTATCTTTTAATTGAATGTTCCTAAGTTTTAATCTCTGAGATAATTCAAATATGATGCTGTGGTTATCAATTAAAAATATAGGACGAAACTGACAAGGAATTTTGACTTTATATTTAGGACCTCTGATATTTCTTAACTGTTGACTTAATTTAGTTTTCTTTTATGCGTACAAGCAACCCATTAGTGGTTTGTAGAATTTAACACACTGCAGAGCACAGAATTTATTTTATAGGAGAAAAGATCTTATATACCAAAAGGGATGGTTCAAATTTGTCTGTTTGACTGTAACAAGGTAGGTGATATGTTGAACCAAGAAGGATGTTCTAGTAGAGAAGGAGGACATTCTAGTAAGAAGGAGGACATTCTGGTAAGAACAATGGCAGTGGAGGAAACAGAGTTGTCTTAGGTAGCCATGGATGATTATCGAAAATTATATTGGATAGGGAGAGAAAATAGTATTATTAGAGATGGTTGGGGTTTGTGAAGCTGTTGTGATACTGGCAACGAGCTGTAACTGAAAGAGAGAAGGTGTGATATTGTGAAAAGGCTATTTGAGAAAGGAAAGGGATGCAATTGAAAGGTGTCGTTGAATTTCTGCCGAGATTGGCATAGCAATACAAGAATAGAAGTGGGTTGAGACAATAGAGGAGAGACATTCTTGGATGGTTTCAATTTAGGATGGTTTCAATTTAGTCTGTGTGAACTAAATGCATGAGGTGATTTGTTTACAAGTTAACACTTCAAGAGGAATTTTACTTTACTTTAACCTAAGCAGTTCACAATTGTGCTATATCTGATAATTGAGCTCTATATAATCATTGGGGTGCTAGATAATGGTGGTTCAGCATTGCATATGCATGTGTCAATTGTTAGAAAACAATCAATTACACAACACACAAGATTTATGAGGTTCACCCCAAATTTTGCTACATTCCCAACCGCCGATGATGGCGACAATCCACTATAAAGATAGCAAAATTACAACGAAGAGGAGATAACCTCTTCCTCATACATTCACAAGTAATTTCACGCCTCTCAACCCTTCTCAATAGGGTGACCGAATGCACCCAAGAACTCACTCCCACACTCTTGAAGTTTCTCTCTCACTTCTCAATATGGGTTACAAAGTTATCTCGCTTGAAAAACAGTGTTCTTTACAAAAACTCCCTTCCGAAGTTCACGCAAGTTCCACCTTGCTTGAAAAAACAGAAAAACTAAAATTGCATCATATGTCTAATTTCTAGCCGCATCTCAACATCCATATACTAGAACTTTTACAGGTTTACTTAGTGAGACACACATGCACATACACACACAAATGCACATGTCTTGTTATGCTTTAGGAAACTGCATATGCTGCTCCCTTTTGTGAATAGGGTTGCTTTACTTCTGGTGGTTTTCATTTTCTCAGTCAGATAAGGCTCTACATGATACTGAGATTAATCAGATAATGGTGGTTCAACCATGCATGTGTGCATATTACGAGAATTTGTAGAGGTTTTATTAGTGGGATGCGCGCGTGCACACATCTTATGCTTTAGGAAACTGCATAGCTGCTTTTCATTTTATTGCACTAGATAAATTGTATCTTTCTTGCCATCTTTTTTCATTTTCCTCTATCATCCCCTTGAGTGGAGATGATAATGTTTGAGAAATTTTAAGTTAACTAGCAGTTAATGGAATAGAATGATATCATGCACATCTTTTAACTTGCCCTGTTCCAATAAAAACTGATCTTTGAGAAATGTTCTCATATAGGTGTGATATGGAAAATAAGAATAAGCTTTCCCCTGTTTGGATTGCAAGAGTCCTTTTTAGTGCGTTGGGTCTTTTGATGCTGGGTACTCTGCTATACACACTCTTGACAGATGGTACTCCTTTTCGCACAGAGCTTTTGACTCCGTAAGTTTTTATTTACTTTTTCAGTCCTGTCTGATTTTCTTGTCTTGTGAATTTATTTACTCTGTGAGAGAATTTTGGTGTAGTAGTAGTAAGCACTGTCTTAGTTACAAATTTTGATTGCGCTGTTCATTTATCAGTCATGTAATTAAAAGTTAGCTGCTCTACATGTTTGCAGGTGGATGACAGCAACACTAATCGACTTTTATATCAATGTTGTTGCTCTATCAGTATGTCTTACATACCCTTTATAGTTCTGTAATACCTAATTATTCATGTTTCCAGTATCTTGCGAGAGGCTGGGGGAGTAAATAGATCAATTAACTGAAATTGATTACCATTTAGTTGCATGTTAAATAAGAATTCCAATTGAGAAAACAACCAAGTCAGGGTGTGCTTCTGTATAAGTAAGTTACCTTGAACTAATGAATGATTGGAGTCTTATAGTAGAATGTTCAAAAACATCCATATACCAACAAGAAAAATGTCATTCAGGAATTTGTGTTGTGTAGCAACTAAAGTCATACTGAATATTATAAAATTCTTGGCTGTGGGTTGCTGGTTGCCTCACTGATTTTTTTCCCCTCCCTTTTTCTAAGTTCATTTGTATACTTCGAAAATACAAAGTAATGATCAGTTTTGCTTTATGGTGATTTCCTGTAACCTAGTTTCTTCAACCTACCTAGGTTCTTAATCTTCTTTCTTCAGTTTTACTTGAAATCCTTTTGAGTAAGTAAAATTTGAACATTATCTGTGTGCATCAATATGCGTTAATTTCGAATTAACAATCTTCTAATCTTCTTTGCTTGCATAAAAATCAGGTTTGGGTTGCCTACAAAGAATCAAGTTGGATTACTGCAGTCCTTTGGATAATCTTTCTGATATGTTTTGGCAGGTATCTCTCATGGTTTTAAACATCATATACTTTCTTATTATCTGTTGAGAAGACATCCATTTTCTGATGTGATAACGCATCTGTAAATAGTTGCTAGCTGCATTATACAATTTATAGACAATAACTTGATTGACACAATTGTTTGAATCAGATTATCTGTATGATCTGTATGATTTCCAGATCAAAACCTTTGGTTTATTGATATATTGGTTTTAAAATGGGTATTCATCAATGTTTTATAAGTGAGAAAAGCAACTTAATTACTTTGAATTGTTGTGTAATTTTATGTTTCAGTTTTCAATTTTCATTATAATGATGCCATAATATATTGTAGATTGATGGGGAGCTAAAACGACAGAAGTACAAAAATGGTTTGGTTATAGAATTTGATAATAAGATGATATTTTGGCTGTGTTATGTTTTTCATTTGGGGTCTAGAAACTCTTTTTATAACGTCATGAATCTGCAGCTAGCTCATTAGGGTTGATTATAATAGCTTGAACTTTATTGTCTCTACTTTCCAGCATTACCACATGTATCTACATTGTCCGGCAGCTGCTGGGGATGGCATCCCAAGATCCAATCTACCTTGTTTTACTAAAAAGTGGTAGCAGGTAAGTCTACAGTTTTTTTTAAGATTCTACTTCGATATTTTGTGTATTAGATAACTGTTGTTTAATTTTCAGAAACCAAATTTCAATTCACCTGTTCTGTTGTAACTTGTATTTATGATATGCTGTCTGAAGTACTTAACTGGTTTGTTTGGAATGGAGACTAAGTGGGCAACATATAAAGCTATTTGTTGAAACTTGAAACTACAGGAAACAAAACTTGGTATGCATAAAAGGAAAAAAAAAAAAAAAGGGGTGAGAATAGTTGTTAAATTTGATTGGAAGTCTTTATCATATGTTGTTAATCAAAATTGTAAATGGGAGAAGTAATGAGTAAGCTAGTTTGTTCCTGCACACCAGGAGCTTGGTTGAAGAAATCCGTTAAACAATGATACTGGAAATATATGCATGCATTGATCAATGAGATACCCTAAAGAGAGTCTTCTAAAGAAACAATAGAAAGCAACATTGCTACAGTAGCAAGGAAGCTTGATCTTGCTGGGAGTCTCAATTCCTAGAAATAGTTAGGTTTTCTTTGATTTTCAAGAGTCGGGCACCCAAGTTACCAAAAAGAAGGAAATCTGAGTCTGTTCTTTTCTATTAGGATTGGTTTTTCTCATACATTTATTCAAGTTAGAAGTCTTTTCTGATTATGTAAAGATCATTCAGGAAAATAAAGTATTCTGGACATGTATCAGTCTTGTGGTATTCTTGAATTGTTTGCTTTATAAATGGTGGTACTGAAAAAAAAATGTTATATATGTCTTAGGGTAAGTTTTGCATCATCTTGCGTGTAGGATGCGTGAGTAAGAACATGAATACGAAGAACAAAAAAAAGAAAGAAAAATGCAGATGTGAGGATTGAACAGTTCAATTGTGACGTAAAGTTTATTTTGTTGTTCGTTGTAGGGCAGAAAGCAGATGTGAGGGAGTTTTTATACGAGGAGACTAAAATTTGAGGTTGATGTGCAATTCAAGACCTGTATAGCTTGTTCATAGTGCTGCATCATTTGAAGGCATATAAGTTTTCTTTATTTGGTCAAGGAGAGCAGTGGAGCAGTTCATCATAAACTCTCCGATCCATGCCACATGAGCAATCTCTTCATATATGATCCATGTTCTTTACATGGATGCCAAATCTGTAAATTTCGGAATTGATCCGTGGTATCACATCTCCATGAATGAACAAATACATAAAATATCGTAAATTATAGTCCGGCTCACTTAAGGACCTAAAAATGAGGTTTTTTATTTGGAAAAAAAAATTTGTTCTGTGAGCACCTATTTATCTAATGGCACATATAATTAGTAGTTTAAACCTTCCCTCGTGCTCCCTATTTTTATTATTCTAATTCACAAAATAAGAACGAAAAAAAACAGAAACAATGATTCATGTACGTTCAAACCTAATTATCTCGTTCTTCCACCCAGTCTTTCCTGTGTACGTTCTCAATGGTAGGGCTCATCCCTGAACTAACCCTGCATCAAGCTTGGAAGACCAAGAATTTGAAGGACCCACTTGACCCTGTTAATCCCAGAGACTTGACGTTTGCAGATTCGTTCTTGGATTTTGATCGAGTCTCAAGAGGATTGGTTTAAGGATACAGCAAACCCTGATATGGAAGAAACAGGGGAGGTCAAGGTTGAGGTGCTTTAAGAAGAGTATATTGGAGAGACAAATGGCGGTGAAGGCCAAATTCTTATTGTGTATGACCCAATTGATTGATGGGTCTGTGCCAATTGGTTGTGTGGAGGATCAGGAGTGAGAAATGTCAGAAAATTTGAGTTGGGGAAATTCAGTTTGCTTGGAGGGTGCGATCAAAATTTGGTTATTGATGGTGGCAGAATGCAGTACTATTTACAAGATAGAAACTTGTGTCTGCGTACGAAGATTTATTCTTCACCTTATAAATCCAGGAAATCCTAACAATATAGGAAAGAAGTCCTAATTACGAAAGGAAAGTAAATACAACCTTGAATAAAATAGGAAACTAAAGTTTCCTGATTGTAGAAGGGAAAGATCTCTATATAAAGCCCACAACTCAAGGTTATTAATCTCACAACTTGCAAAGCTTTCCCTTGGAGATTCTTGAAACGTCAAATTAATCTCTCCTAGTTTTTGTTGCTAGATTAAGTCTTGTGCATTGCCTTCTCTTCAATCTCTCATCCATGGAGAAAACACGATCATCCCTTCATTCTCCCACTAACGGAAGTCTCATCACAATTCTTAGTATTGATGGAGGTGGAATAAGAGGGATTATCGCAGGAGCTATACTCAAGTTCCTAGAGTCTGGGCTTCGGGTAAAAAGGTAAAAACCAAAACTCTATATATGTTTAGTGAGATTATTAATTATGGGCAATATATAGTACCAAACTTTGTTCACCAAATAATGTTTCATTCATTAAAATATAAGAGTACAATCTGCATTTTTGTTAGCTGATAGCATGTTATAGGAACTTCTAAGATATAATATAGCGACATGTAACACAAGGTTCATATGTTATTGGAGCATATAATATAGGTAAATAAATAAGCGTATTACAATATAAGTGGATTAGTCACGTCATCATGTGGGGCTACACCTAGCTAGCATGTTTATGCATTTCTCACAATTTGGTATTTGTGTGTTTCTCATGCTTTTTTAAAAATAAAATAAAAATCGAATAAGACCAATTTTTGCTTTAGTTGTTAGATATATGCAGAAGCTGGATGGTAAGCATATAAGACTTGCATATTATTTTCATATGGTTGCAGGGACGAGCATGGGTGACCTTGTGGCGGCCGTGCTTACTACTCCAGATGAAAATAAGCGTGCCTTGTATGCTGCTGAAGATATCATCTCTTTTTATCTCAAACACTTTCCTTCTTTCCCCAACCCAGGTACAGTTAATTGTCGACAGAGAAGACTTTAGGGCAGTGTTCTAGATAAAAGGGGATGATATCTTTAGCAGCATACAATACAAGGGACAATTATTTTTATTTGGGGTAGTAAGCATGGCCGCCACAAGGCCACCTGTGCTCGTCCCTGCAACCATATGAAAATAATCTGCAAGTCTTACATGCTTACCATCCAGCTTCTGCATATAGCTAACAACTAAAGCAAAAATTAGTCTTATTCGATTTTTATTTTATTTTTAAAAAAGCATGAGAAACACACAAATACCAAATTGTGAGAAATGCATAAACATGCTAGCTAGGTGTAGTCCCACGTGATGACGTGGCTAATCCACTCATATTGTAATACACGTATTTATTTATCTACATTATACACTCCAATAACATATCAACTTTGTGTTACACATGCTACTATATTATATCCTATAACATGTTATGAACTAACAGAAATGCAAATTGGACTCGTATATTTTAATGAACGAAACATTGTTTGGTGAACAGAGTTTGGTACCATATATTGCTCATAATTAACAATCCCACTAAACATATATTGAGTTCTGGTTTTAATCTTTTTACTTGAAGCTCAAACTCTAGGAACTTGAGTATAACTCCAGCGATAATCCCTCTTATTCCACCTCCATCAATACTAAGAATAGTGATGAGACTTCCGTTAGTGGGAGAATGAAGGGATGATTGTGTTTTCTCCATGGGTGAGAGATTGAAGAGAAGGCAACGCACAAGGCTTAGTCTAACAACAAAAAGAGAGAGAGAGATTAATTAGAAGTTTCAAGAATCTCCAAAGGAAAAAAGTGCAATACAACCAAATTCCACACTGATATTTGGCATCTACTTGCACGATTCCCTCAGTTCTCTACAACATTCCTAGGCGATACTAATCAAGTGGGTTGACCGAAAAAAGACTAATCAAGCGACGCTGCGACAGATACCTCGGCAAAACGAGGGACCTCTTCTTCTTTACATCCTTGTATTTGTATTTGGTTCAAAAATTATCTCTCGGAAGTTTCAAATCGTTTGTATTTTGATATGTTTGCTTTACAGATCCCCGTGGATCTTCTTTGTAATTTACTTCTTTTTTCAACAATTTTTTTTTTCCCATGTTTGATAACTCCTAGTTCCTCCGATCATCTTCTACATACTCATCCATTCCCACAACTCATACAACTCTTAAGTAATCAACAAAATGGTTCATGGGCAACCAAATCACATGACCAAAATCTAGTAATATATATTGATATAATATTCAAAATCATAAGTTACACTTGTCTACGTCAATTTATTAGGGAAAAACTACAATCTCACGGGGTCTTCAATCTACAACTTAAAGTTTCATCACATCAAAATCCATCTACTTCTCCAGCCGAATCTTGAATGGTAGGTGAGTCATTAGGTGGAGGTAAGTCTGGAGGTGGTTTGTGTATACTCGTCTCCAATGTACCTCCATCTTTCACGATCATAACAGTGTTCACACCCTGCCAATTAAGAATATCATCCACTATACAGTGTTCACACCCTGCCAATTAAGAATCTTTCTACAAGGATTAACACCCTTTCTCTCATATCATCTCCTAAACAAATGAAATGAAATTGCAACAAGTTCTCCTACCATCTCGAGATGATGTTGAGGTGAGGTAAGATGTGGTGTGGTGTACTGACAGGTAATAAAATCCTAAAGGGCTCCTGTAAAAGCCGCTGGGTCGGTTGCTATTCAAGTGGTGGAATGCTGCAATAAAATGCAAGTCGCAAAAACAGATTGCTACCAAGACCTCAGAAGCTAAACCAATAGAAAATTTGTTAAAGCCAATATGGTGCAAAACTTCAAATTGGAATACTTTAGGCTTCTGATTGGATCATATTAAAAAATAAAGCAGTCTCTGTTAATCAAGTATTGAAGAAACTTCCAGTTAGGATTTTGCTCTTGAAAAATACATGGAATGAAACTGATTTTTGGCTGCTTGGATTTGGATATGCGTTGGGAAATATCTCACCAAAGACCAAAATAAAAAGTTTAATGGGGATTTTAGAAAACACTGATCAGTTCTGGGCCGCAAAAAATGTTGCAACAACTAACACTATATTACGAGTTAAGTGAAAACATAAGTTGTCAAAGTCAATAGCCAAAGCAATATATAAAGCTACTCCAATAAGTCCACTGAAAAAAGCATGTAGTCCAAAGAAAATAAGGGGGCAAATTACCCTAGCAGTGGAGAGGGGTAGCAACAACAACAGCACCAACCCATGTATTTATTGGGTGAACCTGCTTCAATGGAGTATATACGAATGCATAAGTATTATAATGGAAGCTGCAAGACCAGCTGCCAACATATTAGCCTGCAACAACCTTGTCATACAAGTTGCAACATTAGTCCCCAAATTCCCAGTCGATTAAATATTTCAGGTGATGCAAATCAGAATTTTATTGTCATGTAACATTTACAGAAGGAAGTGTGAATTCATTGGGTCACCTTGCTTGCCAACGAAGCAGTGCCAGCTAAACCAGCAGCAGATGCCCAGGTGACTGCATGAGGTATCGTAAAATGTCCTGAAGGATATGGTCTTCGCTTCGTTCAATTCATTTTGGCATAATTATACATCTCAAACACCTACAACCAAACAATTTCTAATGATTTAACACCTAATCAAGACAAAAAATTAATACTAAACAACTAAAGATACCACAGTCAATGAGCCATTAACCACTCAAACAACATAAACCAACTCAGGATCAACTGCCAAAAAAATGTTCACCAGCAGAAGGAAAACAAGTATTACAATCGCTCGCTCAACATAAGTATGGAACTCTTAAAGTTCCTCTAATGCTTTATCTTAGATGCTTTTTTATACCCTCACTCCCATCTTATCTTAGTTATTTTTGTTAACATAATTACGAGAAAGTAAGATGACAGTGTGAAGCAAAAAATTGAGTACAGAGTGAGACACTGCACATATAGTAAGCATTACAAAGATATTGAAGTGAATTTGGAAGTGCTTTATCTAATACTGTATCCTAATTCATATTCTGTCTAAACATTCATCAACATAAAACCTCAATAGGACAGTAAACATTTACTGTAAAGTAATGTTGTTGCTTGTGCACTTGGTTATCGATAGGGGGAAAAAGTAATAACACAAGAAAAAGATAAAAAAAGCTTTCTTGCCGGGCTCATTTTAGCTTTTTAAGTACCAAACTCAGTTTTGACTGGAAACATATAGCTCAATGTGACTAAGGCGGCTTACACTTCTTTATTCTGAAATAGAAACAAAGACTTAAATGTCAAGAATCAAGAGCATACAAGTAACATGTGGTAGTGGATAAGAA